AGAAAAGCCTACTCTGTAGTTCGACCACAAAAACACTGTTATTTACAAAGTGATTGGTTTATTTTAAAATTCACAGACAAAAAACTTGGGGTTTGACCAAGTCAGAAGTATGACAAATCAAATCTTGAAATGAGATTGAATTTTAAAGACCCACTGTGCCTACCAAGGGATGCCAGATGAAGTAGGCCCCTCCAAAATCAAATGAATGGCTTTACTTAATGGTTAATAATGGTCCAGAATGGCATGAAAACATCCAGAGCCACTCAATTCTACCAGTTGTTTTTTCTTCTAAACCAATGACATTTGGCACTCTCCTGTGGGTCAAACTCAATTCTGTATTTTCTTACAAGTCTCATTTTCCTGTGTTTGAAGGACGGGATGTTTGCTAAAATGCCATTTCTTTGGCACAAGAAGGTGCTGTTTGTTGAGCCAGTTATCTGTAAAAACAAAGGATTCACGGTTTTATGGAGACAAATATTGGAGCAGCTTTTCAAGGACAGAAAGTTATGAATAATTTAAAGATAAAACAAATCTATATGTTGTTTTTAGTTTTTATGTTTTGCAGAGGGCACAAGGATTTCTGAGCAAAATCCCAAAATTTGATAAAAGTTAATTGGATTGCAAAATACAAAAGTGGACTTAAAAAGTGATGTATTTATGACTAAATTCTTAAAGTGACACCTATTCCCCCAACTTTTCAGGAGAGTAGCTGCAGAATTCTTTAGTTCTTTTATTGAACTCATAAATATAATACATATTCAAAGTCCACCAAAAGTTGTAATTATTCTTATATTATTTCCAAACTGTCTACTGTTGTATGTGCAGCTCTGGTTTTAACAAGAAAAGTTCACATAATTTTCTCCAGCTTTTATCAGTGAAGGTACCACCAGGGGCAGGTGTCATATCGTTGAGGTGGGCTGCACACCATATCTACTGACTGCACAAAACCTGAATCTGCATTATGGATCCTGACAAGCCTGAACAATGTCTCTCTCTCTGTCTCTCTCTCTCTCTCTCCCAACCTCAGGAATGGCCTTTAGAGTTATTGAAAGGAGAGCGAGTCGGAGCCCATCAGTCGACAGCAAACCACTGAACTCCATCCGAACGAGAGCAAACCCCTCCAGCAATGTTCTGACAACAGAGTACAAATGTTGGGAGAAGCAATGCATTAGTAGCCAGAGATTTAAAGAGATCACGCTTGATTTGAGGCTGTTTTCTGTTGTTTTCTCATCATGGTTTACTATTCAAGAATTTTTTTTTATTTAAAATGCATTTATGATGCAAAATCAACACATGGTGCCTTTGAACTTATATTAGGTGTTTGTAAAGTATGATGTAATGTTTGAACATTTAGTAAAAGTGAAATAGGATCATTGTGGATCAATTGCAGATCTTCGGTACACCAACATTGATTGACAGGTGCTCGGTTGTTTATGTAAATGTTCACCATTATCAGCACTACTCAGGCAGTCTCCCCAAAGGTACACCCTTGCATTACAGCAGGATGTAAAACCCAACGCATCAGCTTTCATTGTCTACCCTCAATGACCAAAATGGTTGGTCTCCTTTGGTAATCATTTTGCTGCAAATGGTTTTGGAACACAATAAAGGGTTTGCAAATACATTTTATTTGAAAGAAGAAGCGTATCCAACATTCCAGGATGTGAATCAATCAAACAATCCAGTCTACTTTACACAATACTACAACAACGTCATATGTCTATATTGAGCATAACATGTAAACCTTGAAAAAGTATGTGAACCCCTAGCATAACCTCATCTCCAAGAGCCAGGAGTGAGCCAACTTTGAGAGCAATTAGTGTGATGATACTAGATGTGTCGCTGAAAGCTGTTCTTCCATTTAAGAACACACACCAGTTTGGTGTTTACTGGTTTCTAGAAGATTTGTGGATTTGCGTAAAAATAATCTCCAAAAGCCTTGATGTTTATGTAAGACAGATTGTATACAAATGGACAAAGTTCAGCCTACTTCCTGTAGGCGCAGTTGTCCTGTAAAGATGACAGCAAGAGCACAGAATGCTTAGTGACCATGTCAGCTAAAGACTTGCAGAAATCAGCGGAAACTGCTAATTTTTGTACAAATAAACAAGACGAATAGCTTCAACAGAACAAAATACACGTTCTTGAGTGGCCCAAAGTTAGCCTCGTTGAAATGCTGTGGCATGAGCTTAAAAGAGCTATTCACACCAGACATCCCATGAAGTTACTCCAGATGGTGCTGCAGTTCTGATCTGCAACTACAGGAAATATTTGGTTGAGATTATTGCTGCAAAAAGAGGGTCAACCAGTTATTCACCATTACAAGTACCTGCATTTCCCAGTGCATTTGCATTTGGGTCTATGCGCGATTGTCTCTCTCAAAACTTTTGTTTTTTGTTATATAACTAAAAACAGTTTGCTCTCAATTTTTCAGATTTTGCAGTTGAAAAATTTGATACTTGTAATTGTATTTTTTGTACAATTCCAGGTTTGTTGTGGAATTATTGTGATTTTAATTTTAAATATTTATAAAAGAAATGTTTTTAGTCAAGCATTGCCGCGCAAAAAAACTGTTTTTTGGGTCTGTCCAAAGGGTCGGATGTGATGCAAACCCCTCCACCAGTGCTGTACACTGTTAAAAAAAACTCTAAATTATAAATTACCTGAATATTATTCTGTGCCTCAAACTTAAATCATCACGTTCAGAAGAGATTATTGTCTCATCATATAAAAAAGCCCTTTAAAAGTAACTAGTATTCACTAAATTGCCCTCATCACACCACAAGAAAGCAAGATGGTCTTCCATAGGATGTAGATTCTTGAACTAATCAGAATGTAAATGTTTAATTCTGAATTTAAAAGCTCAAAGCACTTTTCTTGACAGTGCTATTAATTTATTTCATTATGACAGTTTCAAGCTGTTTGTTTTTGTCCTTGGTGTAATTGTCAAGAGTCTGGTGAACATTTAAAGAAGCTAGATGTATTTTTAATCAGAGTCGTGTACGATTAGGGCAAATAGAATCATTCAACTGCGTAATTGAAAAGAGATAAACACATGGCCATCTGTTGAATGGGGGGTTGACCTGTTATGCTACAGAATTGGCTAAATTTGATTTAAACATTGGTATCAAGAATAACATCACAACACAGGCTCAAACTCATTAAAAAAATCTGATGTTGGTTGCATTTTCTGATATTAAACATCTAGATTTTAAAGTTTGCGTTGGTGCCGTTAATAGCCATTTTTTAGAATGTTGTCAATTCCGCAACAATAACATAATCCAACCCCCATGTCTCTATGATTCTCATAAGCTGAGATAGGTACATGCAAAATTGGTTGCTATGGTAACCAGTCTGGTTGCTATGGAGGGGTCGCTGACCTAATATATTGCTCCCCATATCAATACGAGTAAAATACATCAACCCCCATGTCGCTATGAATTTCCTAAAATGAGAGAGATGCGTAATATTGGTTGCTATGGTAACCTGTCTGGTTGCTATGGAGGGGTCAGTGACCGCTGTCACTATGGGTGAAGCTTACCAACCCCCAAGTCTCTAGCATTTTCCTAAGCTAAGAAAGAGATATGGCAATTTAGTTGCTATGGTAAACAATTTGGTTGCTATGGAGGAGTCAGTCACATCATGTTGTAATCTACTTTCCATTTAGAATAATATAAAGCAACCCCCATGTCTCTACTGTGTTCCGTTTAGAAGATATTTGACATCGAAAGTTATATCTAAAAGTGGGTGTGGCTTAATTATTTTATGTTAAATCACAAGCAATGATTGGCTGGATAAGTGATTTATCCTTAATGCTACTATGACTTTCCAGTGTCAATCAATTACAAAAGCTCTTTCACAATAGGATCTATGGGATTCATGCTCCATTCATTTCAATGGGCCATTGAAAGTCTATGAGACACCTTTGACCTACTTGCAAGCAAGCCAACATAATAATCAATTTTGACCCAAATACCAATTATGTAATTGTATAGTTCGAACATCTATTTTGTTGTCGTTTAAAAATGGTCATATATATATATGCATGCGTAGTGATAATATATGTATAGTATGGTGGGATATACTATATGTAGGATATAGTGTAGTGGTGATGCTGCTGTCCTTCATATGGGAGACTGGGGTTCGAATCCTGGTTGGGACATACAACAACACGAATGCTATGGCAAGCATTTTGGTGTCGTTTAAAAATTGTCATACATATATGTATAGTATGGTGTGATATACTATATGTAGGATATAGTGTAGTGGTGATGCTGCCGTCCTTCACATGGGAGACCGGGGTTAGAACCCTGGATGGGGCATTCGACAACATGAATGCTATGGTAAGCATTTTGGTCTCGTTTAAAAATGGTCATACGTATACGTATAGAGGTGATATATGTATAGTATGGTGGGATATACTATATGTAGGATATGGTATAGTGGTGATGCTGCCGTCCTTCATATGGGAGACCGGGGTTCGAACCCTGGATGGGGCATACGACAACATGAATGCAATGGTAAGCATTTTATTGTTGCTTAAAATGGTCATACATATAGTGGTAATATATGTTAGTATGGTGGAATATGCTAAATGTAGGATATAGCACAGTTGTTTTGCTGTCGTCCTTCACATGGGAGACCGAGGTTCGAATCCCGGTTGGGACATACGATAACACGAATGCTGTGGCAAACATTTTATTTTTAATTTAACATTTAAGCTTAATAATTATTTTAATAATTATATTCCTATAGGTAAGCGGCCTGCACCTGCCCCCTGCCGACCCACCGTTCTGGCTCCCCCTTGCCATAGCATCTGTGTTGTCATGTCGTAGGATTCGAACCTCGGTCTCCCATGTGAAGGACAGCAGCATTACCACTGTACTATCCTACGTATGGTATATCCAACCATACTATACATATATTACCACTATACATATATGTATGACCATTTTTAAACGAAACCAAAATGCTTGCCATAGCATTCGTGTTTCATATGTCCCAAACAGGATTCGAACCCCAGTCTCCCATGTGAAGGACGGCAGCGCTACCACTATACTATCCTTGGATTGGTTTGGATGTTTTGGCAAAGATTGTTGTTTGGATGGTCTTTAAATATATAATCATTTCAATGGGCCATTGAAAGTCTATGAGACACTTTTGACCTACTTGCAAGCAAGCCAACATAATAATCAATTTTGACCCAAATACCAATTATGTAATTGTATAGTTCGAACATCTATTTTGTTGTCGTTTAAAAATGGTCATCTATATATGTGTAGTGATAATATATGTATAGTATGGTGGGATATACTATATGTAGGATATAGTGTAGTGGTGATGCTGCCGTCCTTCACAAGGGAGACCGGGGTTCGAACCCTGGCTGGGGCATACGACAACATGAATGCTATGGTAAGCATTTTATTGCTGCTTAAAATGGTCATACATATAGTGGTAATATATGTATAGTATGTTGGGATATGCTAAATGTAGGATATAGTACAGTTGTTTTGCTGTCGTTCAGGCCACCTGGAGTAAAAACTGTGTTTTTAAAAAAATGAAAACAGCACCAACTGAAAGAGGACAAAAGTCTTTACCATTTAGGTATAAAATGTGTGTGTAAAGGTTGATTTTAGTTGAGAAAACAGTGCAAGTATCAACAAGACTGAGCTTGCTCAAAGTTCTCCCATAGGGAATGACTTGGGCGATTTTTGGGCCGAAATTCGCGATTTTTACGGAAACCGCTGGTCCAATTGCAAGCAAGCTAACATAATTATTGATGCATTATAATTCAATTTACTGATATCTTAAAACTAGTTCTAACATAAATTGAGATTTTATTTAGGTATTCATCCATCAGTGAAAAGTTACAATGTATATCAATGAATTGTCATCTGTTATATTCTCCTGGATGGCTTGGACAAAGAAAGTGAAACGGTGGTTCTGCCCATATTTCACTGATTCACAAATGCAGAATGTTGAATCATCAGAACAGAATTACATGGGACCCTGCATGCAGGTCACTCAGCATCCTATGAAATGAATCAATAATGGTGGCGTGGTTTGAAAAATGATGAAAGTAAAGCTGAACATCATGTCCTGAACACTCTTCAGATCTGAATATTCCCGAGCCACTTCAGGATGTTTTGAAGAAGTGTCAGGAAACAGCTTTTTCTTAACAAGGATCACATGATCAGAAGGACAGAATGTGCAGAATTCTATTGGTCATTGGATGCTAAACGAAAAGAAGCACTTTAATTCATTTTGTAATTTTAAGCATTGCTCATTTTCCTTTGTTTTACATATATATTACCTTATAGATCATATTTTATCTACTAAATGTTTGTTTAATGGTCTAACTACAAACGCAACACCATAACCAACTCATCACATTAAGGCTGCAACTATCAGTTAACTAGATGATTATTTTAAAACTAAAATAGCATTATGTAACTTAACACAATATTTAATTAGTGTATTTACAAACTAAACAACTCTGGATTTATTATACAATGTTTTGTGCTTGGAAAGTGAATCCTACTGAAAGCTTTTTTTTTTTTTATCTGGATTTGTTTTTTTATTATTCGAAATGACTAGAAGCACATTGATTTGATTATTAGATTTGTTCAGACCCTTAAATGTCAGTTTGTTTAGGTTTGTTGTTTAGTGTGCTTCTTTGTAGGATCTGAATTCCTGATAGCTGAAGATGATTGATGTCCTGATCCACCACTTCTACATAAGCCTCCTCCACCATTCAACACATTAGCTTCCATTCTCACTTGTCTTTGGTTTGTGCTTGGAAAAGTGTGTTTGTGTGTTGTGATTTATTGAGATTTGTTATGAAACTTAGATCTGTTGATCATTGCCTTTTTTTGAAAGCGCCACAGTGTGGACAGATTCTGAGAGTTTGGTGTATTTTTATATATGTATATTAGATATACACATATATATATATATATATATTTCAGTTTTCCGCCGGCACCTGAGGGGTAGGTTTCTTTTATATGTGTTGTACTTTCATTTGTTTGTAAATAAATGGTTAAAAATGAGTTTGGTTCCCTGTTCTGCTTTCACGTTCGCCTGATCTAGAAAGGGTATAACAGATAGCATTTTACATGTCATAAATAAATAGTATGTGATAATATGCCATTTTTAAGCAATGGCTAATTGGGACATTATGGGATGCTACAGCATTGTTGAGTTATGTTGTGCATGTTTGGATTATGCATCACCCAAATATTAATTACCTTGGGAGAATAGTTTCAGTTGGTCAACTTTACATAATCTTTGAGTTTTAATTAATGTTTTTGAATAGTTTATGGCAGAAATCACCTGTAGCTATTGATTACATTACATTGCGTGACTTTTCAGTTTATAAATGGCCCTTTCGGTCTAAAGAATTCCCCTGTTATTATTTACCATAATCTTCTGCCATAGGCATCCAGTCAGCCATTGAGTTCTCATACAAGTGACAATGTTCCCTGAGAGATTTAAGTCATTGACATCAGCTCTCTGAGAAGATGAGCACATTTATATCAGCTACACAAATGTCAATTTGATGGTTTAATGGAATATTTGTTCTTAACCTAGTAAGAAGAGTTTGAAAGCAAGAGTTTGCAAATATTCAACAGAAAACACAGCTTTATTTAACTTAAACATGTAGACTTGATCAACTAAACACACATACATTGCCCTGTCTAAGAGAAATAAACAAACGGAAGTGAGCGGGAGGGGAAAGGGCCAGTTTAGAGAGAGAAACATCTCAGAGAAAGAAAAGAAAACAGCAAACAAAGAAAGGGTCACCTCGGAGCACCCCTTTTTTATTTTTTCCATTTCCTGTTTAGACTCATAGATCAAATACAGGACTAAAAATGTTTTTTTTTTCTAAGAACCACATTAGCAGCCCTTCTAAACATTTGCTGATAAACAAAAGACCCAGTTTTTACAATTTCACTGCACAAAATGGCGATTCTCCGAGCCACCCCTAGAAGAACACTTTATCTTTCTTGATATCGCTCACACTCTGTTTTCCTGATTCACCGTCTTTCTCCTGTTACTCATTATGTCTCATTGTGCTCACCTGTTCACGCTCTTGTCATTCTGATTTCCCTGTGTATTCAAGCTTCCCGCTTCTTTGGGTTTCTTTGTCTGTTATTGTCTATGTGTTGAAGTGTTCCCTTTCTCTTGTTCCGTCTCTAATAATAATGATTGTTTTATTCGAGTGTGTGCATGCTCAGTCTCTGTTAGCTCCGCTGCACACAATAATTTGACATTTGATTGCTTATTTAAAAAGATCTTCATATTTTAATTATAGTTCAGTATTACAATATTAGTTTTTTTTTGTTCAAATTGTTTTTTGTGGTTATTTCCCTGCCAGCTGCTGACTCGAGTGTTTATCTGTTTTAATGCCTGCACATAAGAGGATGACACCTCCTGCAGTCTTCCACATCTTTACGGATGCTCTCTTTTGTTCAACTCGAGAGCTCTTCATAGTCTATTACTTGGGTTCCCGTTGAATGATGCACCGCTGAGCTGAGAATAATACCCAGAGTGCTCTCTTTCTCTTTCTATCTCCCCTCAACACAATGACTATATTCATCAGCTTCCCAAATCTGGTCTCAGCACTCATTCGGTCTAAGTGAAATTTGACTGCGTACACGATCGACTAATCAAGAGCTATTCTACATACTGAGCGATATGCAGTTTTTAATCAGAATTAGCATGAATAAACCTGGCACCGCTGGGTTTTGATCACTGGTCTGGCAGAGATGGGGATGTTACACAGTTAGATGAGGATTTCTGATGGAACATATTCAATCAGATGAAGTGCCTGCTCACTCTATTTAAACTCTTTTGGTATTACAACTCTTTCATGATCAGATGACCTTGATACTCTGTATATCATCATAATAACTTTAATACTTTCATGTTTTCTGGATCAAAAGAAATGTTTGCTTGAAGAGGTTGCCATACATTACATTATTCTCTTCAGAAGATCTGAGGCTAGTTTCCATTTAATAATCTCAGTATAAATGATTCTCCACTATACAGCAAGCTTTTTTGTTATCAAACTACATTTTTTTTACAATTTTATCATGATGTTAGAGACTCACCGGCCATTTTATTAGGTACACCTTACTAGTACCAGTTGAACCCACTTTTGCCCTCAGAACTGCCTTAAACCTTAGTAGCATCGAAAGATATTGTATTGGATGGCAATTTGGTGACTGTGGATGCAATTTGAGTACAGTGAACTCATTGCCATGTTCAAAAAACCAGTCTGATTCATGCTTTATGACATTATCCTGCTGGAAATAGCCAACAGAAAATAGGTACGCTTTGGTCATAAAGGGATCAATGTGGTCAGCAACAATACTCAGGGAGGCTGTGTTGTTGACACAATGCTCAATTGGTACTCAATCAGTGCCAAAATGTGCTAAAAAATATCCCCCACACCATTACACTACCACCACCAGCCTCAACCATTGGCCCAAGGGTTTCATGGATCCAAATGTACCATTCGAATGTTATACCAGAAATCAAGACTTCTCAGACCAGAGAAGGTTCTTCCAATCAACTGTTGAATTTTTGGTTAGCTTTTGCGAAATATAGCCTCAGTTTCCTGTTATTAGCTCACAGGAGTTGCACCCAGTGTGGCCTTCCACTGCTGTAGCCCATCCACCTCAAGGTTGTTACTCTTGAGCATACCTTGATTCTAACCCAAACATGTGATTGGTTAATTAGAAATGAACGAGCGGTTGGACAGGTATCCCTAATAAAGTGGCCGGTGAGTGTATACATACTGTCTGACTTTCAGACACTTCAAAATAACGGAATATTATGGATTTCTACACCTTCAGCTAACTCAAAACAGAGTTTTAAATATTTCTACAAAAATAAACAGCAGTTAAGATTCATGTTAGGTAATATATTAAAGAAACAAAGTATTTATGCACTCATTCCTGGACAAATATTTAATATATGAACAAATTAAGCCTTGAAACCTGTTTAAAGCATCAGTAGGTAATTTAGTTCATACAGTTTTATAAGGAAAACTGGAAAAATGTT